CAGTTTATGGCCATCACAGCATCACTATCATCATGTGAGAATGATGCAGGCACTGGGCAATTGGCCCAGATTTCTGACCCTCACAGCATCTCATGGCTATATAATTGCGAATTATGTCTTTCCTTACAAGCTTCCTACAAACAAAGTCAATGGGGAAGTCAGCAAGAACTTGGAGGTCACAATCACATGAGGTCATTATGTAATGACCTGCCAGTGATTAACTTAATGACAGTAACCAGGGACTGCCTTTCCTGGGTCACATCTATCTATCCCAGTGGTGGCGAACCTATGGCACAGGTGCCAGAGGCGGCACTCAGAGCCTTCTCTGTGGGCACACGCACCATCGCCCCAGTCATAGGCCTTCAGCTGGGTTTTATAAAACCTTTTCGCTTTAGGCCTCCGCCACCATGTGCAAAAAAAAAAAAAAAGGTTCAATCAGTCAATTTCAAGATCTTGCAAAGTTGGAATTGATTGATTGAACTTTTTAGTCCCACCCAGTCTGCCATTACCCAATTGGTCACGCCCACCCAATTGGCAACACCCAGCCAATGGGCCACACCCATCTGGCACGCGACGATGCATAAGTGGGTTTTGGGTTGCAGTTTGGGCACTCAGTCTCTAAAAGGTTCACCATCACTGATCTATCCCATCAGGTCTGGCAGAAAGAGCATATAATGGGTCCTATCCACAAAGGAATGTCATCTGCCAGGATCCAGGATCCAGCCTTTTCTGCCACCTCCTGGATCCTGTCAGATGCTGCCTGCCCTTTGGAACATCTTCCCCCTGAGATGAGACTGACCCTGACTTTGTCCTTCTGGAAGAGCCTGATGATGTGGTCTGGGGATCTGGGGATATTGGTGGATAACCCACTAAGTGATTGTGTGGTTAGGAAAATAAATTGTGCTCTCCAGCAGATTTTTTTTTACAGTTTTAATAGTTTTTTATTGTTTGTTGTGTTTTAATGGCTTTTGTGATTATACTTTTTGGTTGTGTTTTGTTTTTGTTTTGTATTTTTAACATTGTAAGCCCCCTGAAATAAGACAAGTGAGATACAAAGCTATGCAAATTTAACCAACAAATGAATAATTACTTTTCCGAGCTACCCAGCTTTGCTACACCAAGTCAACAATATAAAAATATACTCTTTTATATTGTAAGCAAATTCCTTTTAAAAGAGTTTAGGAATATTCTTCAAAAAGTTCACAGATCTGCAAAACCAATCTGACTTGACTTTTAAAATCTATTTAATCTAGGAGGGATTATAGAATGAGAAAAGTAAATATAGTTAATTGTACTGCAATTGGTCTCTAGTAACAACTTGCAGTTCTGAGAGACTTCCGGTGGCAGGCGCCTTCGCTGGACGCAGCTGTTTGCTGCTCCCGCCTGTTTCTGCGTTAAAGCCGTTTTGACAGCCTGCATCAGCTGTCAAACGGCTTGATACCTCTCCCCTGGGCATAGGGGGAAAGGTGAGCTGCCCGAGGTAGGAGTTGAGTTCCCGAGTCGTCCCTTGTGGACGATGTAGGTGAGAANATTTTAAAAGTATTTTAATCGGAAACACAGCTGGGAATATTTGGTTTTAATTCGGCTTTTATCAGGGTTTATTCTTTTGTATTTTTGTATTGTGTATTTTTTGTATTTTGGGTATATTATTTGTTTTAATATGCTGTGAACCGCCCTGAGTCCTATGGGAGAAGGGCGGTATATAAATTAAAATAATAAAATAAATAAAATAATAAATAAAATTATTTAAAAAAAACACTTTTCTTATTTCTCTGACTCTCCCCCACGTTTCAAGCACAAAATCCTCCTACAGCTGTTTAGAGATGGAAAGAAATGGTATTCTCTTTATTTTGGTCTTCATCTGTAAGAGTGGGTAATGTTTCTATCTTTATATAAAAATATACTAGAGTCTGTATTGCCTATTTCAAGGAGGAACAACTTCAAAATGTATAAGAAGTGCAGCAAATAGTTTCTCTTCTTAGAACATAATCTTTATGGATTTTCATAGGGCGGGCATATGCTTCAGTTTGGTCTCCTGGCAACGAAAGGTCTACAGCCAATTTGTTTTGGTCTTTTATTTATTTAAATATAAAATATTGTTATTGATTTTTGCTAGGTAAAGATGGGAATGAGAGGATTCTGTGAGGCAAACTGCTCACATTCTCAATTTTTTAATCTCCCAAAGTCATTGCCAAACCACTCTTCTGTGGTGGATTTGAAGCTATTTTTTGGAACTAGGAGTGAAGAATAGAAGTAATTTCCCTTTTAGCGACCTTCCTTTTCCATTCCCAGCTGTAATACTCCAAACAAATGTAAAAAAAATGACCTGAAACCAGGTCATTGAAGCATATAGCTCCAATCTCTCCTTCTTTTTTTATAATCCATGATCCCTTAATTTAGGGTAGAGTTGGGGCAATTGGATGGAGCCGAGCATTTACTGGCTGAATGCAGTGGTGGGATTCAGCCAGTTCATACCACTTCGTCAGAACTGGTAGCTAATTTTTTGTTGCCCAGACCCAGAATGGACTTCCGGAAGCAGCATCTACACAGAGAATCGGTTGTT